ACCCTATTGACCCAAAGTCAATAAGCTTAGCCTGCTACCCTAAACCCTAAAATGAGGTCATACATGTAAAATACAATAAATATTCAAGTACGAGCAGCTTCCTAACCGAAGTAAAAAAGTAATTAAACCATTTTACCATCTCCCGAATAAATAGATAAAATATTTTATGAAGGAGACACTATTTATCATAGTTTATTATTATCTCTCTCTTTATTTCTCCTTACTTTACTTTGTATTCTTTGAGTGTGATTCACAAACAATTTTAGATTCAACGATAGACAACTCTCTTAAATGTGCATGAACTGTCAATTTGCTGGAAATAAATTTCATAAGATCTCAAAGTAAATCAAGACGACTTACTCATGATATAATGGGCTCGTTGTGAGTCGGTTCATTTTCAAATTTAAATTTTCTTACATCGTTTATAAGGTTTTAAATCAAACTCTTATTTTATTGGTTTCAATCAATTTTAGCTCCGTTCTGTTGGTTTTCTATTGTCATGTTCTACTTTTTAAAGTTTATGCGGAAACATAACGTTTTTACTAAGGAAAATATTATAAATATTTGCCATCATAAAAAATATTCAGTTGGACAATGTTGAATAAAAAAAAGCGCAAAAGGAATTTTAAACTTATAACTAAAAATTGCTCTTATAATGACATTTAACACCGTTTAGTCACATCTGAATAATTTGATGTGTGGACGATAACGTAGATTCGATTCACCATTGTGTTGTCTGGATGTAATATTTTTTCCTCTGTTTAAAGATTTCGTAAAAGTTATCATCATTTATGACGTGGGAGTGAAGGTATGAGAAATTTGATCGAGCCATTAATTTAAATAAATTATTATTATTATCAAGCTTTTATTTAATAACCCTACTCATAAGAATGCAATGTTAATATAGTACATATTATTTAGTAGAGAAACACAAAGTAAGAAAAAAAAAAACTGCAAAAATGGATAGGCCTCCAAAATGTTTCTCATTTTTAATATATTTTAAATTCTTGTTGAATTTGGGTGCTATAAATACTAAAAAAAAGAAAAAAAATAGAATTTCACATTATAAAATAAAAATCTCCTAAAATAGGTGGCAACTAATTTAATAAAATAACTAAATAATAACATAATTATCTTTAATCTTGGTGGTGGACAAAATTATCAAATAAATATTTTTAAAACATTGGGTGAACAAAAGGAAGAGAGTGCAAACTCATAAAATTATTTAAATTACATAGGAAAAAAAAAATTATGCTCTATAAGGAAATCTTAAATTTAAGGGTGGACACATGTCATTTTTTTTGAATGTCTGAACTAGTGCATTTATGCATGTCACGACAAACCCTTTGGGAATTTGACGAAAAAGAAAAATATGAGTTGGGGTTCATAGTAAAGTTTGATATATGTGCAATAATTTCAAAAAGGAATAAAGGAAGATGATAGATTTGTAAATAACAAAATTTCAAATGTTATATATGTAATTTCCCCAAAAAGTTGGGGGAGAAAAAGAGAGCAAAATAATGGAATTGCTTATGTTAAATAGGGAAAAAATAGCAAGCTCTTAATCCTTGGTAGGAAATCAACCAATAATGTGGATTTAAGCATATCTAATGTTTGAAATTGTTAAGATTTCAATTCATCAAGAACAGAAGAGAATTTAACTTTTACTTTTAAAATTGAATTTTGGCGCCTACTGGGTTTGAACATATGTCAACATGGCTACTTTTCATATATAATTAGGCTGGGAAAAATACAATGACATGTCTTTATTAGTATTTTATAATGTGGTTTATGAACTTTCCTTTAATATAATCTTTTCATAGAATACAAAGTCATGCTCAGTGCCGCCACTTATTATCTCGAGCTATTTAATTTTTGCTAATAAAGAATTTATGAAACTTCTTCCCACTTACTTTTTTTCTTTGTAATTCTCTTTCTTTTATTAGTTTAAGCAGCTCAAAATCAACATTGAATTTATCATACTTAAATTCATTGAAAGCGGAGTTTTGCTCTTTCAAGAATTAAAAGCATTTAAGGGCTAAATTCATGCTTCAATCTCTATATATAAATAAGGGATATAAAAATTCACTTGAAAAAGTGTCTAATTAATTATTACTCAACAAAAGTGGCAACATGTATATATTCTTATATTATTTGAACATATATCTATTAAAATCAATAAAATATCATTCTAAAATTCAATCAAATTGCTCTACTAAAATGGGGGCAATTGCATACAAACCGTCCTAAACTTGTTATTTACAAATCAACCTACCCCTTTCATCCATTTTTCATTTTCTCACTCAAATTTCAAAATTCACCTCAATCTATATTTTTCATTTTTATCCTATTCACGTAGATGTAAATACGTTAGTTCAATAGTTCAAAAAAAAAAAAAAACTTGATATTTAATTTAAAAATATTAATATTTCGGATAATTTATATGTAATTATCCCTAAAATAGATCATATTATACTAAAAATATATACTTAATTAGTAAGAACTAAATAATTTTCTTGTATACCCATTTCCCAATCAAGGTGTGGAGGATCCTCTCGTCCCCATTAAATTTAGAAAGCGAAAGAGCATCTTTCTTGTCTTCCTTGGAATTATTTTTCCCTAATTCCTCCATTTATCTATTCCCATGCGTATCAGTAGTTAGTACATAAGTTTATACGAGACTTCGAAAAACCGCTGAAAAAGCAGGGAGTGTCCCTCCCCCAACCAAAAATCCGTTTTTTTTACTTCTCCCGTCCTCCCCCACATCAAAAACACGATTTTTTAACTCCTCCAACCAACCCATGACCCACAAACTTCATTAAGATCCTTCCTCGCCGTCATCCGGTTGGATCTCCGCAGAGCTCCCCCGGGGAATGCCGCTTTCCTTCGCCCTCCAATCCTCTGAATACTCCCAAAGTTTCGACCTTTCTTCCCTTCATCCTCACTCCAACAATGGCGACTCACTCCACCTCACCACAGGAGATCCGTCACCGCGTAAACCATTTCCTAACCAAGCTCTCCGACCGCGACACCGAATCCCTCGCCGCCGCTGAACTCTCCGCCATTGCTCGTAACCTCACCGCCGACTCCCTCCCCCCTTTCATCTCCGCGCTCAGCGACGCTCGCCCGACAGACAAAACCCCTCTCCGCCGTCACTCTCTGCGCTTACTCTCGCTCCTCGCTCGCTCCCTCCCTTCTTCTTCTCTATCACCTCACCTCCACCGTCTCCTCGCTGCCGCTCTCCGCCGCCTCCGTGACCCCGATTCCTCCGTACGCGCCGCTCTAGTCGACACCGTTCGCTCCCTCGCCGCCGTAACACCACCCGCTGGCTTGGTTTCCACTCTCCTCCGCCCCCTTGCTGACGCTCTGTTCCATGAACAGGACATTCACCCACAATCCGTCTCCGCGCTTTCCCTCTCTGCAGTTTTGGAAAAATGTAACAGCGAGGAGACGGAGGAGCTGGCTGTCTTTTTAGAACGGCTTGTCCCGCGATTGGTTAAGCTGGCTCGGAGTCCGGCATTCAAGGCAAAGCCGGCTGTTTTGGAACTGGTCGGAAGTGTAAGTCTTGCTGCTTCTGGCATCGGAGATGCCGAGCTGAAGTTGCTAATAACTTGTCTGTTGGAGTTTCTCGGAAGCCAGAGCTGGGCTGCTCGGAATGCTGCTGCAATGGCGCTTACTCGCCTCGCGGTTGCGAAAAAGGACCGGCTTTGTGAGTATAAGCAAAGTTGTGTTGCGAGATTTGAGGCCCGGCGATTTGACAAGGTTTGATTGCTCTATTTTTTTCTCAATTTTTTCATCTCGATCCTGATCCGGAAGCGTTGGGCAATGCAGGTGAAGATTGTGAGAGATTCGATGAACAGGATGCTGGATGTGTGGAGGGAGATACCGGAGAAAGAGCTGGATCTGTTGCCGCCATCTGAATCACAGTCCAATTCTTATGTCAAAGGTGATATCTTTTATAATTTGGGTGCTTGTGCTAGTTTAGAGATCTGAGTCTGTGTTAATTATGAATTGAGCAGAGATTGGCTGTGATAGAAGATACCAGCCTGCTTCAATTCTCAGTTCTTCATCTGTACAGTCTTCTTCCCCACTTACTTCCAGAAAAATGAGAATTCCCACCTGCAAATCTCCACCGAACGCAGCAACACCAATTGTTACGGCAAAGAAGATTGAGTTTGATCAGAAGAGAAATTTAAGAAAGATAAATCAGAAGAGGAATTCAGATCCTCTTTACAAAGTTGAAAACGAGAACATCCTCACAAAAACGGAGGAGGTTTTAAATAGTTGCCAGCAAGAGAGATCTGAGAACAATGGCAGATCTAGATTGGAGGTTAAGAGGGCACTTTTTGAGAAGAACTGGGATGATAAGAAGATCGGCGGCTTGAAATCTGGGTCTAGGATTGTGCCATTTGAGGAGATCGGAAGCTCGGAGCTGACGAATGAAGCTGCTGTAACTAGTGATAAGATCCACGGGGAACAGAAGGATGGTGATTTGTCTATGATCCGGATGCATTTGGTTCAGATTGAGAACCAGCAATCCAGCCTACTGAACCTCCTCCAAGTAACAATTCTTTCACTGAACGCTTAATCTGTGGTTTTGTGATAAGAAAGTGAAAATCAAGGTTCATTTTGTTTTCATTGTAGATTTTAAACATACATTGTGAAATGATGATTTAGTGTCAATTGTTTTTACTCTGAAATTAATCATTTTTCAAAGCAAATTTTCTTACTTTAAACAACCAACTGCTTGTTTCATCATCTTCCTAAACTCTCATGTTTCATTCCGTCTTCAACAAAACTTCAATTTTTATCAGAGATTCATCGGAAGCTCTCAGAAAGGCATTCATTCCCTGGAAGCAAGAGTTCTAAACTTAGAAATGGCGCTAGAGAACATGTCTCGAGATCTTGCTTCGTCTTCATCTGGGAGAGTGATGAACACTGATCCAGCTGCAAAGCTGTGTTGCAGGTTTCCAGGCACAGAGTTCCTAAGCTCCAAATTTTGGAGGAGAGCAGAGAGGAGATATGCTTCCAGGTTCTTGACTTACAAGCAGGAGAGGCAGAAGTTTGGATTTAGTGGGGGATTTGTTAATCCCCTCGCTGAAGGTAAGTTTTATTTCTTGTGTTATTTTTGTTGATGTGATTTTGCACTACTTTAGCCAAGAAAACTTGAAAGATTTACATGCATACCTTGCAATTTCTATGTATTTACATATGTAACACTTAGGGGCTGTATGATAATGGATTTAAGTATGATTATAGTATAGCCTTAAGGCTATCCTATCCTTCCTTTTTTGCAATGAATTGATTTATGCTGACTTTACAACTAGCCCCTTGTCATTTTTAAATTGATATTTTTTCCCTCTTTTGCATGCTTTCCAATTCAATTTTATGTTCATGAAATTCAATTTCAATTTATCATTCATCCTTAAAATCATAAAATTATTGTAATATGACACTTGATGTAATAATACCTGAGTCTGAACCGTATTTGCCAATGAGCCCAAATTACCTCATGGCCCCTTGTTATTCTACACATGATGCAATGCAAAATTGCATCACTGATACAATAATTTCTCTCATATGAAATCACCCGCTATGTTCATAAACATTTATCACACATGCCCCCCTTCACTATATTTTATTTCTTTCCAACTTTCTACACATAATTTGCAACATTTGTATATTGATCCTGCAGGTTAATATCTGCAAATCATGGGGAACTGCCACAATGAGCGAAAGGATATGGGTTGATATTTTGTGTTTTTATTTTGTAATATTATTTTGTTTACTATTTAGGTTGAATGATGTTCTTTTCTTTGATGCACAACCGATTCACATGGCTCCAGTCTTTGTTCCCATACCGTCTCTGAAAAGTATTTTTAGCAATTCAAAGGGATGCCTTTTGCTTTCATGTCTGGTCACATGCAGAGAAACAAATATTAGTTTTTTCACTTTGGCCCTTACATTTATGGGAAATTTACATGCATACCTCATAATTCTTATGTATTTACGTAACTATCACCCAAATTTTGTTATTTACACGTCATTATTTTGGTCTCATTTTTTATTTGATGTTAAAGATTTGAGGGGTATGCATGTAAATATGAATGTTTAAGTGATAGATATTTAAATATATAAAAAAATGTGTGTATGTAAATGGCGCTTCATTTATTTTGCTTTTCTCCTGAAATAAATGTATTGTGTATTAAAAAAAAAAACTCATTCTTCTTTATGGCTGAAAATCATATATTGTCCTTCATTTAATTCGATATTATTATATTAAATATCAATTGGGCCTTTGGGAGCAGAAAATATTGCATCAATGAAATCACGTCACGCGGTGACCAAAAATAAATAAATATATATATTCGGTAACACGAGAGAATATTTCTTTCATGTTATTCAAGTGTTATTGTGTGTTATTCAAGTGTTATTGATTTTTTATTGTGTTATTATAACACCGGGAATATTTCAAAATACAATAACACTTGAATAACATACAATAGCACATAAATAACATGCGAGAATATTCTTCAATGTTAACGCACCTTTTTATTTTTATGTCACCTCCGCGTGACGTGATTTCATTAAACTCCGCAAATAACTCTGCGATTCGGAGTCCTCATGCAATATTTTTTTCCTTTAGAACATCTTATTTTTATGAATTTTATAAGTATTAAATTTAATCATTGTATATTTTATTATTTAATAATATTTAATTTATTTTAATATAAACTTTTCAGGACCCTTGCATTTCTCATCAACTATTAAATTTATATAATGCATATTTTAATTCTTTAATAAATTTCAAGGCCACGATTATAATATTGTCGGTTAGTTTACGTGGTCTTCGACGAGTTTCGAAAATGATTTCTGCATTTTATGACTTTGGTCAAATTTTAATTTATTGGATTCGAAGTCTTATATACGAAAAAATATTACATCAAGACTTCGCACCTAGAGTTGCATGTAAAATCTAATGAATTTGCGCGGTAGAGGTGATCGGCCCGGTAACACCGAGTTATTATAATACCGGGAATATTCCTAGAAGATAATAACACTTAAATAACATACAAAACACCTGAATAACACGAGGAAAATATTCTCTGGTGTTATCAGACCGATCGATTCCACGGTGTAATTTTATTGGACTCCGCATGTAACTCTAGGTTAATATTTTTTCTATATACAGGGGGCATTTACACACATATCTAACCATCCTTATGTATTTACATATTTAGTACTTTCATATTCACATACGTCAAACTTTACTCTTGAATGTCACGAAAAAAATACCACTTATTAACTTTTTAGAAGTGGACACATTTTCGTGTATTAGAATAAATATCGAATTTTAGGTGGTAGGTATGTAAATACAGAGAAATTGTGTTGCATATATATAAAAGAAAATTAAAAAAAAAAGTATATATTTTATATCAGAAGGTTTACATGCATACCACCCGATTCTTATATATTTACATATGTTACACCCACAACTTCAGTATTTACAAACACCTTGACTGTGTTTGAAAAGGTGCGCTTCATTTTTTTTTACAGTTAAAACGATGGTGGTATTTTTTTCTTCTTCTGACATTTCGGTGGTATAAATGCAAAAGGTAATGTTTAGGTGTTGAATATGTAAATACGTAGAAATTAGGTGGTATGTATGTATATGTCCCTTTGAGCTAAAGGACCAATGTGTCTTGGGTTTAACATGAGGGGACTACTTAATTCATGTGGTATAAACGGCATTAGCTTTTATGGTATAGCTATGAAATATTTATAAAATATGTCTAGTTTTAAATTGCAAATAAAAAAAAGAATTATATAATAAGCTTTATTATGAAATATTTTACTATAAAAATTGAAGGAGTTATTTTATTTTTCTACTAAATATTTAAAGTTAAATTAATTTGATTTTATGTCAAAATTTATGAAGAGAGAATTATATTTTAATGGTGCTTTTATATTAATTAAATATAATATAATTATCAAAAAAATATGTGATATGTTAGATATTAAATATGTTATATGTAGATTAGATTATCTATTAAATATATGTAACATATAAATAAAAATATTTAATTTTACTATAAAAATTATAAAAATTAATAAGAGGAATTCATTTCATGATGGAACACTTCTATTGTTTTATTATGTTGGAGTGATGAATTCGTGTGATGTGATCAACTCGTATGTATTTACATATCGAACACCTAAACTTTAATTTTTTACATACATGCCAACTTACAATGCATTAAAATGTATATTTCATTTTTTTAAATTTAAAATAGCTGCAGTTTGATGCGATATAAAATATTTGAGCGATATAAATGTAAAAAGCTAAGATAAATGGTTGATCATTGACAAAATATATGGAGAAAGAAGATGTTGATAACAAAGACAAGTATAAAAGCATGTATGATAAGATCAACCAGTTTATGAATGTCAGATGACCATGGAGACCCTCCAATTAAAGGTGCACCACCAAAAATAGAGGAGGAAATTAAATTCGCAATCAATGAATTAAGAGAAGTCAACTTGGGAATAGTATTTCAGGTTATGACCCTATTTACAAAGGCTTTCTAGTGAGAACCCTATTTGCATTACAATTGCATCAAGGTTTTCTTGTAGGATTAGAGTGAAGGTCTTGTCCATTATGTTCTGTTGTCTAAGACTTATGCCATTTATTTTTTATTTAACTAAAAAAAATAATGTAATGTTATTTATAATAGAATATTTTTTAATATTTCAAGTATAAAGGAGAATATAAAAAACTTAATTAGAAAAATTAGTTCTATATTTACCTTTAAAAGGCAAAAACAATATTTTGGGGAGATATAAATAAGTCTAAAAAAATTGTTAAGACGAGGAGCTAACGAGATGATAAGGTTTATTATTTTTAGATTAGTTCGGTAATGGAACCCCCCTCCCATTAGATTTATTAGAAATAACATAAGCCGGGTAATAATTAGTTTTACCTTATTTCTTTGATATCTCTCATTATAAAATACCAAAATATTCAAGGGAAGGTAGATATGTTGTCATAAAAATAGTTGATAAGGGTTAACCAAATAATTTAATATAGATACTACCATGAGTAGATTAAAAAGTTGATTTTTAAGATGGTTTAACCTAGGTGATTGGAAAGGTGACTTGCTAAAAGACTTTGTAGCTTGTCCTTGTAATTGCAAATATCATAGCAATAAAGTCATAACTTTGTATGAATTAATCTACAATTCATAGAAGTAAGGAATAATATAATATAAACTAGTCTTTTTAAGTCAACAAAAAATATTATAATGTTAATAGATGACACACTTCTTGACAAGATAATATGAGAATTTTGATGTGGGTATCATATTTCGTCCAAGTCCAAAGTATTAAAAGTAATCTGATTATTTTTTGGCACACCTTGTGTATAATAGTGGATTGATTATGATAGTATGCTAATAATAGTTAATAATTATTGCAATCTTCTTGCCAATAATCTTGTGATCTTTTTTGTTGTGAGTTTAATGATATATGGATTCATTTTAAATAATAGCCAACTTTTATTGACAAATGAGCAAATCAAACGTTTATTTTTTTTTTTCCTTCAGACGAAGGCAATTTTCGCTTGAATGATTTCCTTAGTAGTGTGGACTTTTGCTTGAATGATCTCTTTAGTGGTGGATATAATAATACTTCAAAATGGTTTAACCTAAATATTTAGTATTATGAATCTTCATTAGAATATTATCCTTTGATTTGCTTAAATGGGCACAAATGAGGTTCTCATATTGCTTTCATGATTATTGAACTTAGTGGGAATGGTGATTATAGTCTCTTAAATGCTCTTACATTATGTTAGGGGGGTTGATATATTTCTTGTTTTGAGTTCATATGTTTATTTGACAACTGTTTAAACTACTTTCAATTGGTGATCATTACCTAATAAATAGTAATTAATGTTTATACTTGATAAATGAAATTAGGATATAAGTAAACAATCTCTCGCGTCAGTGAAGGAGGAGAAGTCCCAGGATGAGACCTTCAAAGAAATATCTTATAGTAACTTTGGATCAACCCAAAAGTTGGTAAAATTCTAAAAAATCATTACAAAATACTCTTTAAAGGCCTTCATGACTAACAAATCCTTAAAAAATACTCTTCAAAGGTCTCTAATTTTTATTTAGAAAATCTTAATAAGATGAAAGAAATCATTACTATACTTTGATCTAGAATAAATATACAATAAAATGCAACTCAGCTGACAAAATAATGACTAAACTTATCATTGAAAGTATAGAATTAAATGATCTAGAATAAATATACAATAAAATGCAACTCAGTTGGCAAAATAATGACTAAACATATCATTGAAAGTTGCGACTTAATCTTAGAGAGTCATAGGAAAATTTTTATATGGGAGCGTATTATAATCATATTGGATATTCATAACTATTTTAGAATTGCCAATTTGCTTGTAAAAATCATATACCACATTGGAAGGATCAATATCAGATAATTTGAATCCCGCCTGAATAAGTTGTTTAGGGAATTACATCAATTTGAGTCAAATACTCTTAAAGAATATGCTGAGAAATAAGTTGCTTAAATCCTCAAAAAGATTTCATATTAAAAGAAGACATTAAAATTTATCTCTTACAACTTTATCTATGACAATAATATGATATTGTTGGTCAAGTCCACTGAGATTGTAGGGGGTTTGTGCCAATTAAGTAGCATATGAAAGATGGCTAAATTGGCAATATTTATGAGATATTAGTGAGGCAGTAATGGAAGAGAAATTTCATTATGATGGTGGAAGCATCTTACACTAGTGCCATCAAATTGATTATTCTTGACTTGATGTAGATTTTATATTAGGTGAATTCTACCATGTTGTAATTGCATTATTTGTTGAGTAGATTCTTATAAGGTTTCAAAGACTTCAATTTGTTGCTTCATTATCAGATGAAAACGATCTTAGAAAAGAGGCTTAGGAGGCCTTCACTGGTTGCATTATATTATCCTTGATTAAGGAATTAGCTGTTAGCCATTGAGAAAGTATTTATAATGCCTATGATAATGAGAAATTCTTAATAGATGATGCTAAATTGGTACAATTTAGAACACTCACGATAGTATATGAGATATTCTAAAAACTTTTGACCCTAATTTTAATATTAAAATATTAAAATTTTATTATTGCAAAAAGATTGTGCTTGCTATGAATTTTATGGTGACATATAAAAAATGTAAAATATAAGGAATGAAGAATAATACCAAGAAATCATTAGAGATAATGAACATATATAGTTTTAAATCTTTTGACCTTTTTTTATTTTAAAATAATTATTATAATTTAACCTTCATCAATTGACTTTGGCTTTAGCCAAAGTTTAATCTATTTAACCTCATCGTCCCCGTTCTGAGATGACAAAAATTTATCCTTTATGCCATAGAATATTTCTGATACATTTTGTTTTATATAGCCGAGACATTTTTTTATATAGTCAATCAAGCTCACAATTAGGCATAAGGCTAATTCTCTACACCTGTGGAGTGGAGAGAATATTTTGTACGCCCAACTGTTGTGAAAAACGACGACAATAAAGAGAAAAACATGATCAAGAAAATTCTCAAAAAAAAAATAATAACACAGTTGAAACACACAAATTTACGTGATTCGACAAATTGCCTACGTCCACGGAGCTGCAAAGGATTTATTAGCTTGAGAAATTACACCCGTCGATCACATCGATGATTGCATGAAAGAACAATCTTTCTCTCTCTTTTATCTCTCCTTATTCTCTCTCTCTCTCTCTACCTGAGAGCTTCAAATCAAAGCATGCTAGAAGAAGAACCTGGAAAGCTACCAATGCTAAAGAGAGATGCCTGAGAAACCAAATCCCGAGCGTGATTACAAGGGGAGCTAGCATGACTATTTATTAATTCCATCTTTTCATTAGGCCCATTAAGGAATTAATTAAATAATCAATGAAGCTCATTAATTATTTCCTTTTCTCTTCTGCAACAAATTTTAGAAGGAATTAAGAATAATTAATTTCGAGTATCATATCCAATTTGCTTCCAAACATGAGAAAATACCAATTTGAGCAGGGGACCAGTTTCCATATTTGCAACAAATCTCACACTTGGAGACTGATACACTGGCTGTATCATTCATTAGCTGTGTAGCCCTTTTCTTCGAACGTGATATCCTCTACCCCTACAACTCAAAGCCCTGGTTTTCATGCTATAAGACTAACTGAAGTCGAGCACAACTTCAGTTTCTCAATTGTAACACCCTTAGTCGACATATTAACATCAACATAGTCTTGTACCTCCAATTTTTTTCTCGGGTTACTCATGTTTCTGCTTACAACTCCCACTACAAGAGCAATATCTGTCTTGTACCTCCAATTTTTTTCTCGGGTTACTCATATTTCTGCTTACAACTCCCACTACAAGAGCAATATCTTGTCTATGCTGAAAGCCCTTTTCAACGTCTAGCTTTGTACCTCTTACTGCCATTAAGCACAGTCTTCACCCTGTACACACTTGTTGTGCACTGCCTTCTTCCCTAGTAAAAGTTCTGTCAGCTCCCAAGTCTCATTCCTTGGTAGAGAATCCAACTTTTATGGTCGCTTTTCCAGTAACGAAAGATGAAGTTTCTTTTCATAGAGGTAGTCCTCTATCTGCATCTTCCGGTAACCAAAATATGTGTCATTGAATTTCTTGATCCCTGATACCATCACTTCGTCCTCGCCCACCATTCTTCCTTAGATCCGAAACCACAGCTCAGATACTAATTGTTGTGAAAAACGACGACAATAAAACGAAAAATCAGATCGACAAAATTCACAAAACATATAACACAATGGATACACACAGATTTAAGTGGTTCGGTAAATTGCCTACGTCCACAGAGCTGCAGAAGATTTTATTAGCTTGAGGAATTACACCCATCGATTACCTCGACGATTATAAGAAAGAAAAGTCTCTCACTCTCTCTCTCTCTTCTCTCTCCTCTCCTTCGCTCTCTACCTGATAGCTTCAAACCGAAGCATGACAGAAGAATAATCTGGAAAGCTACCAATGCTGAAGAGAGATGCATGGGAAACCAAATCCCGAGTGTGATTACAAGGGAAGCTAGCATGCCTATTTATTAATTCCATCGTGACATTAGGCTCATTAAGGAATTAATCAAATAATTATTAGAGCCCATTAATTATTTTAATTTTCTCTTATTCAGCAAATTATATAAGGAATTAAGAACAATTAATTTAGCAATTAATTTTGAGTATCAAATCCAAGTATCAAATCCGTATCAAATCCAATTTGTTGCCAAACATGAGAAAATGTCAATTTGAGCAGTTGACCAAATTCCATATTCGCAACACCAACTAGGGGTGTAAACGACCCGAACACGAATGAGCCCAAACTCAGCTCGTGTTCGACTTGTTTATATTTCAAGCTCAAAAAGTGTGTTCGTGTTTGACTCGTTTGGTTTGATTCTTTTGTTTGGGGAGCCGAACACGAGCTATTCACGAACAAAGAGTCGTTTTTTACTACCCTAATCACGTAGCTACAAGATGTTAATAATTGGGGCAAGATTTAAAAATTATTATTTATATTAAAACATTATTTGAATCTAATATAATAAATTTTATTCTATTTTCTTAATTAATACTTTTTAATTGATTATAAATCTTTGTAGCATTGTAGTCAATTAAGATTTTAAAAATACGACTCATCAATATCTCTCTCTCTCTCTCTCTATATATATATATAAATATATAATTGATGAGTTGTATTTTGAGCCAAAACGAGCCGAAAACAGATGAACAAGTCTGTGTTCGTGACTTCTTAACGAGCCGAACACGAGCTATTCGTGAACAATGAGGCCTTTTGACAGCCTTATGCCCGGCATATATGATTAGCGTGATATTTAGGTAATAGTAAAGTAATATTACACCACAATAACATTTTAATACGAGCACAATAACACGATAATATCATAACAATAACATCTTATCGTAAATACCTCGCCAATAACAATCAATAGTATCCATCCTCATCCCGCAATATTTTTCAATATTTTTATTGTGGATTGATAGCGACCAGGGTAGTCGGCACAGCATATACTGACATACTTTTGCTCGCCTTCCCACTGTGTTAGCAATGGCGATCCCAATCCCTCACCGGCAGCTTTTCATCGACGGAGAGTGGAAGGAGCCAAACAAAAAGAGAATTCCCGTCATTAATCCCGCCAACGAAACCGTGATCGGTTCATCACTCAAACCCTTCTCCTTTTTCTTAAACTTCTCAGATCGATAGATCAATCGGTGGATCAAAGTTCTTTTTCCTTCTGATCTCGATTATGTTTCCAGGGGATATACCTGCGGCGACTGCCGAGGATGTCGAGCTTGCAGTTGAGGCCGCTCGCCGGGCTTTCTACAGAAACGGTGGTCGGGAATGGGCGCGAGCATCCGGAGCTACTCGCGCGAAATATCTCCGTTCCATCGCCTCCAAGGTATAGTATGTCTCTTATTTTTTTGTTTATTAGATTAGGGTTTGAAATCTTTCTCTTATGAATTGTGAATATACAATGACACGGCTTGGGCAGGCGCTTAGGATGCACCAATGAAATGTTAGAAAGAATTCATGTGAGGATATGGAAGTAAAAAAATGGCAGATCAATGGTGAAATGGATTATTGTTCTACTAAAGTAATGTAAAATAGAGTTAGCAGTTTACATTGTTCTTAATAAGAATGAGGATTTATAAAGCTGAACCCAAATAATTGCGAGCAGTCAACTGGTGACTATTATCATGATATTTTTTTTTATCAGCAAAATTTAAGGTCTGATGAAATGGATTACTTGCAATTTGTGCTCTGCCTGTCGTATACATTACCGAGTAACAAACTAAATGTGTTGATTCATTTATTTGATATAACATCGGCCAAAGATCGGCCTTCTTGAAAATGTTCTGTTTCCATTTTTTTAGTTTGTTATTGATTGGTCGCTACCTAAAGTTGGTTTATGGGTTCAGGAATTTATCTAAGACAGGCAGCTAAATATGCTTATTATTATTTTTCAGTTCACTAAAGAATATTACTTGATGTTTCATGGTGTAAATGTAGGAATATAAAGCTCGTTACCCAGCCTGTGTTTTTCTGTCTATTTGATTACATAGGTGCACCTGCACTTTATTGTTGTCCAAATTTACTGTAAACATGACCTACTAAAGAAGTACTTGTCCAATATCTTGGGCATTAAATTGGATCCAGTTCATTCCACCATTTTTCTGATCTTACTTTGGGATTCACTGTTATTTTTGAACTTCTTGTTGCAGATTAGAGAGAGGACTTCTGAATTGGCTAAACTTGAGGCCATAGATAGTGGCAAGCCATTGGATGAAACAGCGTGGGATTTGGTGAGTCCACTAATTTTCATGGCTTTGTCTGAATTTCTTATAATGTATAACTGACTTATTTTCCCCTTCTATCCTCCAGGATGATGTTGCTTCCTGTTTTGAGTACTATGCAGATCTTGCAGAATCCTTAGATGAAAAGCAAAGAGCCCCTGTTTCTGTTCCGCTGAAAACATTTAAGTCATATGTTATCAAAGAACCCATAGGAGTTGTTGGATTGATTACACCCTGGTATACTGATTGATCCTTGGACCAATCTCTCAATTGAGTTTTCTTGTTCTAGATAGATTTCTGAATTTAGGTTTTGCTCCACTGAACACCAAGACGAAGCGCTGTTTTAGGAATGATTGGCTTAAAAACAGCACCATGGTCTATTTTTTCTGGTGCTTAAATGAACTTTGGACTTCGTTCAGAGACATCTTTTAGATTGCTATGAAAGCAGCTTTGGATCAACCACTGGCAACAAACAAGAAGCAAACAACAACAGAAAAACAAACAAGAAGACAACCATAGTACATCATCATGACTGAGTAAGATAGCAGTAAGGCACCAGCACAAAGGTGGTTGGTTGTTTCAAGGCAGCAACAAGCAAGCAAGCAGTGCTAAATGCTACAGAGAGCAAGTAGTGGCATTGCCCAGTCACCAAACCTGTGGGTGAAGAAATTAAGCAGAGAGAAGTGGAAGACAATGAAAAAGCAAAGGAAGATTTTGATTTCTCTTTTCTTTCAAAATTTCAAGCCTTTAAATAGAAAACTCCTTCTAATAGAAAAGAGGAAATTATATCCATAGTAGCATTCTAGGTAGTTCAAATTTTTTGATTGACATCCTGTTGCGTCTGTGAGTCACCCACCTTGATCTTAGCAATGTGGTATGTGAATCACTATTGTGGACAATTTTCATGGGTAAATTGAACTAAATCTTTAACAAAATGATTACTTTAATGTTCCATGTAGTAATGCCCTGTCATGATTATAAACAATCTAATTGATGTCGGTCTAGATCTAATCATTTCATCTTTTTTGTGAATTATAATTTCAAGTCGGAGAAGATTGACTTTTCAACACCCAACTATATCAATTTGTTGCCTATCAACTAATCTCTTAGGAAGTTCCTAGGATATTTTAGATATATTTTTTAGAGCGTTTTAGTTCACGGTACTTCAAAATTTTCATCTTTAGAGGATTCCTGCAAATATCCAAATCATACATTTGGCTGACTAGGTTTAACTTGATTCTATAAAATAATGTGCTTTTGAGCTTGCAATAAATAACGGACTTTTTTTTCCCCGTTTTTTGCTTGAGTTGTGAAGAAAAACGTGCGAGGGAATACACACTTAATTCTTTTTACCAATCTTCAACCGTAAAACTACATATATAGGGAAATTGCTTTCTCCTAATTTACATTATTACCAAATATATTAGCCCATGAAAATAAAACAATTCTGAAATAAACATAAATAGCAAGAAAATAAAACTAACCAAGGAATTTCCCAAAGTGTCTCCAATTAATCCATCCATGACCCCTTGGATGGTCAGCCTGGGCCCACTATTCAAAGGAGGCCTATCCTTCTAGATTTCCACACTTTTCCTTAAGTTGGGTCGTAGATATTGTAGAGACCAAGCTTGGTATTAACTTTGAGATGCTACTTAAAAGAGGATTTAGTTTTTGTTGTGTGGAGATTTTAGATTCTTGTGTGGAGTCCTTTTTCCTTTTGTGGGCTGTATCTGAGGGGGTGGTGGTGCTCCGGTTATATCCTACTCTGAGGTGGTGGTTGTATGTTCTCTTTTTGAACTTAAAATCCTTTTTTTGGTTCAATATTACATTTAGATCCCTCAAGGAGATAAAGCAAATTTGGAAGTTTTTGTACAGTTTGAGGATGTTGGTTGGATCATTGAATCAATCTTTATTTCATATTATAGTTCCATTTTCTTTTTTGAATTTTAGATCATCATTATTCATTAGAATTGTCTTACTTTGTCTGGAATTAATGTTTCATGCTCCTAGGGAGTTTGTTCTATGGTCTATGGTTTTTTTGGTTTCATCTATAAGAACCTTGATTGGGATTTGGCAACTTTTACAATCTCATTTTTTCCAATTTAGGAACTATCCACTGTTAATGGCAACATGGAAGGTCGCTCCTGCCTTGGCAGCTGGGTGTACTGCTGTGCTAAAGCCATCCGAATTGGCTTCTGTGTATGTTTGAAATTTGAAATGTTATAATTCAGTTTCTAATATTATTAAGTTTTTTTTGCTCACGAAGTTGTTCTTTTTAATACTAGGACATGTTTGGAGCTTGGTGAAGTGTGCAAAGAAGTTAAACTTCCTCCTGGTGTCCTAAACATTATAACTGGATTAGGATCTGAGGCTGGTGCACCCTTGGCATCCAATCCTCTTGTAGACAAAGTTGGGTATTACCTGGATCATTTTTTTTTCAAATTGTATTTTAAAAACCAATAATTCATACTGAAAAATGGTTTTATGAAAATGTATCATTAGCAGATTTATTATAGGTATTTAATTTCCAAATCTGTAAAATTATGCTAAAAAACTCTTGAGTTATATCTTCTACTAAATTACTAACGAGTTATTTCTATTTTATCTACTGTTGTGACGTCCAATCTCTGGATATTTCAGCATGTTAGCTTCATAGAGAACTATATATAGTGCCAAGGAATGAGACCCAAATATTAAACGTTAAACCAAAGAAAATCGCTGCTAAAACCTACCGAAACTTGTATACTTCTACATGAAACTGCGGTGAATCATGAAGATTGTTTGGAAAGAAATGAATACTTGCGTTTTAAAATGGTGGTGTTTTTTTATTTTTTTTTATTTGTGATGTGTTGTTTCAGTGATAGATATGGTTATGAAAGGCACTTTATTAATGTACTTCTGAATTGTACCTAGAGATGTGAGTTCACATTTATAGCTCTAACATAACATCTTATTTTCTTTCTCTTTCTCACGCTCACACACACACATTGTATTTTTAAAGTAGGAGATTTTCTTCACAAGTTTCTTTATATTGCATTTTGTCAGTAGTTATGCATTAAGTCACCTTATGCTGTCAATGTTTAGTCGCGTGCTTTTGAAGCGAAGCACCACGACTGAGTTTTGACTCCTCAGTTCATCATGGTGCCCTTAAACACATGCTTTTTTTTTGCGTTTCCTATTAGGATTAAAGGGTTGCTGGCCTGACTTAATCAATCATTTTGACTTCTAATTCATAACGCCATAAATGGAGGACAATACTTTTGGAATTTTTATAACCGTAAATTATTTTTCGTCCTCTATGTTGATGGCGACTGAACCTTTTTAGTGTCCAACAAAGCTTTCAATATCAGAATCCCTACCCCCAATTAACACCATTCCTATTGATGATTTATCTTCTTGTTTGCATGATATGTTATGTATCTGACTCCTTCGATGGATGCATTACATGAATATTTGTTAATTCCCAATTTTCCCTTGAACTCTCTTTTGTCAAAATTTTGAGATCGTCTCATCTCACACGTGACATTTATTCGTTGTTGGAGGTTGCCACATCCCATGGATTATACATTATCAGGCTTAAGAGTATGTGGGGCAGCTGCTGTTTTTTGAAGAAGCACTTCTAGAGCTGTTTCATGGGGAAGCTGCTATTAGAAAGCTATTGATGGTTTATCAGTCTATATGTTTAGATGATCTGCGGTACTGCAGTTGTTTTTGAGAAAAAAAAATTATAATTCTCTTATAGGTATATGTTATTTATATTGTTGCAGTTTCTGTAATAATTATAATTGACTAACAAATAAATTAAGCAGTTCAAAAAGATGTTAGGAGTCCAATTCACAAACTACATCAAGTTTAACACATCACTTAATATATAACTACACAATAATAAAGGTTATTACAACAACAAGTAATGTTATTATGCCATTATCCTTCATATCCAAACGATCAAGTTTTCAGGGGAATTTTCTTTCGAAAGTTTCTCTCTATGCTTGATCACTATTTGAAATAAAATCTTCACTATCATCAACCCATGGAAAATATCTGCAATCGTCACTTTATCTACTTATGGGACAATAATAAAATCACCTCTTATAGTTGCCTTCTTAATGTATACTTAGAACATTGTATTCCGCAGTTGCAGTATAAAACTCTTGATGCGTTTGAAAGCCCCAAAAAATGTTTTTTATAGGAATGTAATATTTAATACTTAATCGAGAAATTAAACTATATGTGCGATATAACAAATTAAAAAAATTAAGAGTTCATAATCAACATAAATAAATACATATAAGGAGTAGTCAACTCTAAAATTCTAACCTTAAAAAATTTAAGACTAAAAGCATGGAAGAGAAAATATATATCAACCAACAACTCTGAATACATCTCAACAAATATTTGACACTTTCACTAAAGCATCTGTGATTTCTTGCCTCAGTTGGATCATCTCTTGAATATACTTTCCATCGGGTGTGTCAAAGTCATTAACTTCAAAAATTTTTCTCTAGCAATGATTATCCTATACAATTTTTGAATGCTTCAACAAGTATGCATGTAGGATCTTCATGTAAGACTTTGAAATCCACATTATATCGAGATGGATGCATGCATATAAAATTATATAACATTGTCGTTGCCACAACTATCTTTATTTGTTTTTTGATATAATATATCAACATATATCAAAATATGACTCATTTCGTTTATTGTACACCAAATGCTCTTAATAACACTCCATTGAGTGTCTCTTTTTAAATAATTCATTTTTTTTCTAACAACTTGGCTGCTCTGTTCAAAATCAGGAATGTGATATTTCGTATTGGGAAAGAGCTTTAAGAAACCTCATTGCATTAAAATATTCAAAATCATGATGCAATATTTTTCTAGATAATAACATTTTTAGTACATCACTTCAAATTTAATTTTTCATTTTAGACCATTAATATACTAACTGGGAAGGGGTATTTGAAATTTGTACTCTTTTCCGAGTTGCAAATTTGAATATGCGATTATCATGAGCACTCTCTTTCCATGTCGCCATTAAGAAGGTAAATCACATGTTAAAGTCACATACTGCTAGGATATTCCCTGTTGGTGATTCACAATGTCCGATCCATGCAATCTTATCGTTATTTCCAACACATGCATTCATAAATTTGAAGATGCGACTATCATGAGCACTCTCTTCCCATCTCGCAATTAAAAAGTTAAAACGCATGTTGAAGTCACATACTGTTAGGATATTATATGTTGGAGATTCACAATGTCTGATATATGCGATCTTACCATTGTTTCCAACATGTGCATTAACATTTGTTCCATCAAATACTCATATACAATTATGTTTGAAATATTTATGAGGATAATTAATTTTCTTGGTAAAACATGCATGCAAATTAAATAGATAATATAATGAGTACCTTGAAGAATGACATGTATATGATATCATTACGAATTTTTTGGTGTATGCCAAAAAGTGAGAGCTATATGTTTGACAATGTTGATTGATATTCGAACCAACAAATCAAACCCAATATTGAAATACCTGCTGATAGTCTCAGTCGAGTTTTGAAATTGTTCGGAACTAACACGTATCGACTCATTATGTAAAATTGTATATAAAGTGATGACCAATATTTTGTTAGGTGTAAATTTGGGCAATCCATCGAAACCATAATAATTTTGGAATTCATCCGGTAAATCGCATAATTTTTTTTAACATTTAGAACTTGTTATGAATTATATCTCAATGATTTTTGAGGAGCTCATCAATCCCTTTGTCACCCACACATGAGATAGACATGAACGGTGTCTTATACAAATTTGTTTGGTAGTATTCATTGATGAGACATACTGTAGTTGCCAAGATTTTTGTTCGTGTACTGTCTCTATCATTTCGTTTTCATTTGATAGATTCGACCATTTTATGCATGTCAAAATAGAAAACAAATCATCAAATAGATAATAAGTGAACAACTAGAATTTAAAATCATAGTTCAAATGATATGGAAATATGAAGAATTTATATTACATTTTCTATTTACCAAAGGTTTTTCTCTCTACCACTCGGATGCATCTATCGTTTTCTTAATAGGAACCCAACCTAATTCAGTTGCTTCTCGCCTTAACTCTTTATGCAATTTTTAATCTTTTTTTAGTTGATCTCATTTATTGTTCAACTTATTTTATCATACATTATTCCCGTTTTTTCACAAAAAAATTTGTATATATTTTTGCAAACATCTTTATTGAAATGTGTTTTTGCTTTGTTGTCAAACTTGATCTCTTTTAAGTATGAATCACAAAAAATAATCTTTACCTTCCTCTCTCAAGTGGCCGATATACCACATTTCTTTTATTCTCCTATTTGGTGTATTAGGATTATAAAAACTCTAAAAAAGAACAAATTAGGCTTATAATTAAGAATTAATAAAAAAAGTTTATATAAACTTAAAACGAACAAGCAACCGAAGTAGAGCTCAGTGAGATCATTTTGTCAAAGATTGCTCCATCCAGGATCACTATTTGCATTCGATTGTCATATAGGTATAGAAATATGGGCTATATGAGTAGGTAGTATTGTGGATGAGTGTGTCGTGTGGGCTATATGACCAAGTAGTGTCTTTAGTATCATATCACACCTCTGTACTTACATTGCCACCATTCTTAGGTATTTACAAATCTCCCACCTAAACTTTCATCTTTACGCACATACTACTGAAATCATTAATAAAAAGTATAATAATTAAATTGCCTAAAGTGAAATACACATTATCATCCTTATACAAGGTCTCATTTATGTAGACTTTAAGTGATAAGTGTTAGACATGTAAATTCATAAGAATTGAGTCCTACGTAAATTAATATTCCGAATATATGTTAAACTACCATCAACCCATCTAAAGACTACTACTTTAACCACAACCACAATAATCCTACTGAATCCAGGTGCACACAGTTCTTATATATTTACGAATCTCACACCTAAACTCTCTTTGTCATACACATAAATTCAGATCATGGAATGTTGGCAATACTAAAACCTTTAACCTAAACTAGAGCAGTCCCAACGAAACTATAACAAGCCCACAAAATTGTTGATGTGAGGCAATTTTTGAATATGAACTAGAAATCAAAAAGTTGTAAAACCACTCAGTTCTTGTGCATTTACATACATAGCACAAAACTCTTATGTATTCACATATCTTTAATATCACAACATACACCTTGATACATACCACACAATTCTTAGGAATTTATAAATCTCACACCTTAACTTTCATCTTTATGCACAAATCTTACATCTAAACCCCACAATATTTTGAAGCAAGTATGAACGTGAAATTGCCAAAGTTGAAATATGCTATCAACCAAAACTAGAGGCACTCCCGCTAAAATCATAACAAGCCCACAAAATTTCAAAAAAAAAAAATCTATAAAAAAAATTTGAAGCACATTGCTTTGCATGCGTTCAATACAACCATGCAGACAAATAGCTTTGAGCATAGATGATCACATTCTGAAATCCGGTGAAGTGAACGAAAAGCCACATATCACATAAACCCTATACACATAATATTCCAACAATGCATGTATAAAGAATTATAGAGATACATACAGAAGAATTAAAGGCAACAACACAGATGGGAAATAATTTCTTCTAGCGATAGGGAAGGAAACCCTAAACAACGAAGATCGAATAGGTAGGGGAGATAAATCGGGGATAATGTGAGTAATTACTCAATTGAGTGAGTGCAGCGAGGTAAATTTAAACTCAAGTCGCGTATTCGTCGCAATATTGAGCTTCTCCATGCTTTTCTGGAAATCGTGGTTCCGACAACGCAATTTTCCCAAAAGCTGTGCAAGCGACGCTCACCAAACGCACCCTTAGGTGCTTTCCAAAATGGAAGCAGCGAAAAAGCTGCCCCAAACAGGCCTTAATCATGTGCTTGATGACTCTTGCTTTTCCTTAACTTTTTCCATTATGATATTTTATTCCACTTGCCTTTTAGTTTTTCTGGAGAGATGCAATGATGAAGAAGATGATCAAATAGCTTTGCTTGAGTTTTTCATCTCTTGTGGGATTTTCATTAGTTATTGCATGTTTTGAGATCTGCAATGATAAATAGCATCTTATATGTGTAATGTGTGGACACTTGCTGTTTGTCTTACAGTTGCATGGTTTTCAACGAGTTATAAGTGCGTGTGATGAATTTTATGGATCTTTTCTACATTGTTAACTATATCATCTTATCATTTTATGTGGCTCAATGTGTGCGCTGATACTTTTATCCAGGGATGCTTTTCCAAATTATATTCTGTCCAAAATTTGATAATGAACTTGAAAAATCAACGTTGAATTACTTGGCCATGAAATTAATGTTGATTTATGTAGTACAGTGCAAGTTACTATTTCCTTTAGTTCATTGTTATCCTAATGAGTGTTTTTCCTTTTTGAAAATAACTTTTTTGAGCGTTTTGATTGCATAACGTTTTAATGGTGTTAATTCTTTCTATAGCCCATTAGCTACTTATGGTTATATCTAATCATCTTCATCCATATATTTTTTTATTGTGAAGTATTCTGAGTTTGTGAGGTATAGACCACACTTTTCGTTTTAGTGTATTTTCTTGAAAGCACTTCATTTACATACCTCAAGCTACAATTCACCTGCACGTTGATAACGACCATAAAAACTAATTATAACTCTCATTATAGTTAGTACTACTTGTAGATGGATATTAACTTATGAAATAAAAAATGAAGTATTTTCAAATAATGTCGCACACAGCTCACCTAACCAAATTAAATGGTAAAAGTAATGGAGCCATTATAGTTGGGACCTTTGTGAGACTTCAACTTGAGGGACCCTAGTGAAAATGTTTCAAAGCATTTACCAACATGAGGCATAGTTTATAATTTATGGACCTTAGAATAATTATCCTTTTTTATTCCCTTTGTGTGAATTATTTGAATAATTTAGTCTTTTGGTTTCTTATAGCTTCTAGTTATGCAATTCTGATGATTTGCATTAATTTTTCTATTTCCTTCTTTAATTTTTTGATTCAAATTCCTTGAAATTTGAATTTTACTTTGGAATGTGGCTTTAAATTTAGGTATGTCCCCGACCTTCTTTAATTTTAATTGTTGCCTCTAAATTTATAATCTTGTTAGATTTAATTTAACTCATTTACATGTGTTCATGTTTTAATATTGCCATTGCATTTTTCTTATATTCTTTGAAATTTGTTAACCTGCTGTGGTTTATATTTAGCTTTAAATTGTGTTCAGAACGCATCGTAGTGTACCTTCGGTAAATAATTTGAGTGCTTTACATGACAGAATCAAGACCTTGTTTTATGCTATGTGCATTGAAGCCAAAAGTACCCTTTGTGTTCCCCTTTGTACTTTGTGCTTTGAAAACAGTGGGTTTTATTTACTATATAATACAAATCTTTTTCTTTTTAAGTCATATGATTTAATATTTTGTTGTCAGTGTGAAAATTTGTTACCATTCCGCATGCTGTTAATCCAATTTTTTGTTCTTTTTTTGCCAATTTAAACGCGTAGATTGCATTTACTGGAAGTACAGAAACAGGTAGAAAGATTATGACTGCTGCTGCACAGTTGACAAAGGTATTTTTTGTCTGTTTACCCAAATCTGTGCTCTCTCTTCTTTGTTGTAATACTTTTGTGATTTGCCTTTTTTTCCTTTGTTAGCCGATTTCTTTGGAACTTGGCGGTAAAAGTCCACTACTTGTGTTTGACGATGTGGAAATTGAGAAAGGTTTGTGCCTCCTATATCACTTATGCTAGTTGGCAGGTAATACATAGAATTTTATTCTTCCAGACTACTATGTTTAAGCCGTTGTAGATGACGTTTCCTGTACAGGAAATAACATTCTATACACTTTCTAAAGAGCGTTGTTAAGGTAGACACAGCGAATGTTTTTGAGGGCATGTTACTCAACATATTTAATATGCTAAAATTTTTTATTGCTTAGTCGAAATACTATCGCAGCTGATCTCCTTTATAAAGATAAGAGCTGGTTTTAAGTCCTCTTTTTAATGCAGCTGTTGAATGGACAATTTTTGGTTGCTTTTGGACAAACGGTCAAATATGTAGTGCTACCTCTCGTCTTCTTTTGCAGGTATTTATTTGTAAAATACCTCTTTCTTGGCAAGATTATCAAGTATATTTGATGTTGACAGCCTATGTAATTTTTCAGGTTCATTTTCCATTTTTTTTCTTCCTTAGCACCTAACGTTACTTGTATTGGATAATAGATTCATGATTTACTTTGTAGGAGCATTTAATGTTACTATTTCATTTTGTTTTACCAGTATTCCTTTTAGTTTAATTAGTTGTTAGTTTTCATGCACAGATTAAGGTTCTTCATGAAACTCGTCTGGTTTCTGCTAGGGGACTAGAACTGATGTAGGCAGGAAGAATTTATTGTGCTGGCAAATGTTGGTTTTACATTAATAATGATTGTGCGTTCAGTTGGTTCCATCGCCTAATATCTAAATTAATCACACTAAATAATCAATAGTGTAAACCAAACTAATTGAGCAAGCTGGTGAATCTTAAACTAAATGATTTAAAATATTATTAGGTGAATATCTTAGCTCTTCAGTACTTATTCAGTCAGTTTAATTTTGTTTTCATCTCTGGGTTGCTTTGTTTTTAACATTAGGTGCATTTAATATGGTAATTCTCTTTGATTCAGAATCAGTTCTCAATCCAATTGTAACTGATGACCTAGTTAACTTTAGCCATTCTAGTGTCAGTGAACGAGCTCACCTTAACCCCACTTAACTAAAAAATCCCACTTTTTCTTATCTTGGTATAGGCTTTGTAATATCTTTAAGATATATACTAGCACACCATTGTCATTGATGCTACACAAATATTATTGTCACTTCAAGTATCAACATTTTTCTTGGATCCGATTACATGAGCTTTGGTTGCTCGTGATCGAATACAAAAATGACTTTAATGTATCTCTATGTATAATTTGAATAGGTTCAAGATTGTTTTCCATCTGAAGTTTGTGTTAAATAATTTGCACAAATTTAGAACACATTCGTAAGATTTCCAATATCTTGCTTTTGTATTCTAATATCCTTACTTGCCATTCGTGATGTTCATAATTTTTATTTGAGCTATAGTTTACACAGAAAATAACGATATATTACAGCTGACCTTCCAAAGCTCTTTCGTTTAAATTATCTGAAAGTGTAGAATATCTAATATTTGCACCGCTTTAGGATGGTAAAGACTCCGATCTGTTATCAACTCTAGCTTTTCTAGCATTGATTCTTGTATTATATCACTCTCATGATATAATACAAGATTCAAAATTATATCCTTTACCACTCCAATATCTTGGTTGTGTATTCTAATATCCTTACTTGCCATTCTCGATGTTCATCATAATTTTTATTTGAGCTATAGTTTACACAGAAAATAACGATATATTACAGCTGACCTTCCAAAGCTCTTTCGTTTAAATTATCTGAAAGTGTAGAATATCTAATATTTGCACCGCTTTAGGATGGTAAAGACTCGATCTGTTATCAACTCTAGCTTTTCTAGCGTTGAATCTTGTATTATATCACCCTCATGATACCCTCTCTTTGCTACTCACATGCTACAAAAAACCTAATAATTTGACCTCCCATCGCTATGTTGTTCAGCCATGACTATTTTTTTTTTTGTGGTGACAATCAATTTATGTTTACTTTTTTGATAGAAATATGCTAACATAAAACTATTTTCTATTCAATTCTATACTTCATACTCAAAATTTCATGGTTAGAACACATTATTCTTATGTTCCCCTAACTATTTTGAAATTCATTAATAACCTAATTTTCATGTGAAATTTTAATGTCTTACCTAGTTTTTGTGTCTTGCTAGATCTAGCTCTTATTTGTTATATGCTGTACTTCTTAAAAGTTTGACATGTTATAAATTTGATTTTGTGAGAAAAGCATAATGAAAAGCGATATACTACACATGCATCTTTTTCATCGCTTCACTATCATGGGCGACACTCCTTGCGAATGAACCTTTTTTGGCTGTGATAATAACTATGCTCATATTTTCTAGCAAATAACACAACACAGCTTTACAAAATTAAATGCTTAATCACGAGCAGATCCAAGGCGGGGTTCAAGGGCCACGGACCCCTTTCTTTTTTTGGGTTCTGTCTCATTATAGCGAGGGCTGTGAGTTTAGCTCGAAGATCATTAATTGCTCCAAAATGGATTCAAGTTTTGTCTTAGATCCATCCCAAATTTTGACCTTGATCAAGTGTGATACTTGAAGATTTTTGTGTTAGTTTTATCTTTTTGTACATTTATTAGGTTTGCAAGTCTCGTGAAATTCTTTCTCATTTTCTTTTTCTTCCTTTACATCTGTTATTGATTTAAAGCATGATTGTGTTTAGTTAGATTTGCTATAATTTTGATTTCTATTGAGAGCAAGAATTTCTACCATGTGTGTGGCATTTCTGATCCTTATTAACCTTTTCAATTTCTAGTGGAGTGCTATTGATCTTTTTATCTTAATTGATTTGATAATATTTTTTTTGTTTTGCAATCAATGCTGTTTTTTCTTAATAGCTTCTGTCGATTTCTGTATGTTTATTGCAGAAGTGTTTTGCACATATGTTAAATTAGAGATTCTAGAGTCCCGCTTCACTCATTCTTACGTGTTTATTTGTAAGGCATAAATGTCGAAACAATCGAAACACATACATGGTATGATGATGACATAGTGACACATTAAGTCTGGAAAAAGAGATGATACGTTTATGCTAGAGCATTTTTTTATATGTAAATATTTAAATGATTACTAAACTAATACAATTTAATCAAAAGTTGTGTTATTAACTTGCATCAAACCAAATCTATGATATCTACTAGAGTTATGAAGCTCAAGAAATATGTTATATTAGAAGAAACAATAGAAATGAAAATAGATGTTGGATTTGAAGGTTAAAGCAGCATGATTTGTGTTGAATTAGTATTAAAAATGTGCCCAAGCCATGTTTAGGAGTGCTAAATTGTATCCATTTTTTTCCTAAAAAAGGGCAGTCATGATGGCGTATTTGACTAAGAAACTGTTTCCTCCGTTTATTTTTTTTACAACACTTCCAAAAATATGATCTAAAAGACCATTTCAGTCATTCTTCAAGTAGAACATTAGGATGAATATGTTGTTTTACTATAATGAATCCCAACATTAGGATGCATGTTTGCCAATTTTCTTCAAATTCATCCTCATAAAATTAAAAGAATGATAGACTTGAAATTAATAATAGATTTCAATACTTTTTTTTTTCCTCTCTTTCAGTTGCTTTGCAAGATCTTATGATGTTTTTTCTATTTTCTTATTCTTATTAATTTTTGTTGTTAGCAACAAATTGTGCTCTTAGTTATCAGTCAGCTCAACCTATGTGATAGTACACAAGTTGACTGGAATATATACGTTTTAAATAAAGCATGACGCTTTCTATAAAGACGATTTTTCATCCGGTAAGTGTGCAGTGAAATAAAATTCTGAATTTTTGATAAAGATTTTTCATCCGGTAAGTGTGCAGTGAAATAAAATTGTGAATTTTTGATAAAGCTTCTTCTTATTTAATTATACTAAATTTTGTGTGTTGATTATTTTCTGCAGTTATAATTGAAGCTCTGTGACTCTTAATGCTTTATTTACTTATTCACATTGCCTCAACAATGGTCATTTTAAAATGCTCTTAGTATAATTTCTGTCAAGTTCGCTATTTTGTTCTGTTGCAGGAAAGCTTTGCAAAAGAGTTTCTAGAGAGACTTGTTGCTTGGGTAAAAAACATTAAAGTCTCAGATCCACTAGAAGAAGGTTGCAGACTTGGCCCTGTTGTTAGTGAAGGGCAGGTATGGTATTTCCTCTGATGGAATTGTAAAGAGTGAAACTAACTTGAGTCATTTTTCATTTTTAGGATGCCATCCTTCTATTTTATTTTCAAGAACATTATACATGATTGTTATGACAGCCAATTAGTAATTGTGAAGTTATGACCATTTACATATGTTTTTAAATTTCATGCTGATACCATTATGGGAATCTTATCTCCAGTCCATCAAAATGTGGGGCGACAGCTCTCATAAATAACTGTTCATATTCCCAATGATTTTGATTTTATGACAGTATGAGAAGATGAAGAAATTCATTTCAACGGCTAGAAGTGAAGGTGCAACTATACTATCTGGTGGTAGCCGTCCAAAGGTTGGTTTTGTCACTCTTCAAAGGCACTAGTTCTATGTTTTTGTGCAGCAAAACTGACCTTCCAATTGGCAGCACCTAGAGAAAGGATATTTCATTGAACCAACAATTATAAGTGATGTAAGTACCTCCATGCAAATTTGGAGGGAGGAGGTTTTTGGGCCAGTCCTGTGTGTAAAAACATTTAGAACAGAAGAAGAGGCCATAGAACTTGCAAATGATAGCCAGTGAGATACTTGTTTTATTGTCTTCTCAAATATTATTGAAAATTTTCAGACCTTTTCTGTATTGATTTTTATTTTCGTTTCCTCTCTTGTTAACTCAGATATGGTTTAGCTGGTGCTGTGATATCGAAGGATCTCGAGCGGTGTAATCGCATTAGTGAGGTAACTCATGTTCAATCATTTCTTGCATTCATGCACTTAATGCAGCAACTGGATTAAAATGGAAGAAATATTACATCAGTACTACGCACGTTATTTTTAAGTGCGTAGCCAATCAAAACACGCCACGACATCTCGCGCGGCGGAGTAAGAAAAACGGCGCAGTAACACGGAGAATATTCCCTCCTGTGTTATTCATGTGTTATTGCGCGTTATTCATGTGTTATTGCATGTTATTCATGTGTTATTGATGTGTTATTGTGTTATTATAACACCAAGAATATTCTCAGGATACAATAATACATGAACGTGTTATTCATGTGTTATTGTGTGTTATTCATGTGTTATTGTATCCTGGGAATATTCCTGGTGTTATAATAACACAATAACACATGAATAACACATGAATAACACACAATAACACATGAATAACACGGGGGAGAATATTCCCCGTGTTACTGCGTCGTTTTTTTTTCTGCGTCGCGCGGGGTATCGTGGCGTGATTTCATTGGGTACGCACGTTACTCTACGTGCGTAGTACTGATGTAATATTTTTTCATTAAAATGAGCTTTATGCTTTAGCTACTATTGTAAAGAAATAATGGGTACTAGCAATGGTCTAACTGATGCCAGCATAAGGGAATCCCTCATTTGTTTTTTTTTATATATTTTTTTAAAACCTCTATTTATGTTTTTATGGTAGGAAATGTGCATTAAGAAAAAAAAAAGTAAATAAATAAATAAGGGTTTTGTTTTCATTAAAAAGCAAGATAGCTATTTTCATGTTGATAGAAAGAACATCTCACTATGAACAAATGGTGATTTGGAGTGAAATACAGCTTTTCGTGCATAGATTTAAAGCACTTTTGTGCCACGAATGTGAATTTCCCAAACTGGATGGGGGAAACTGGATTTCCTAAATTTTCCTTGTAGCCAAACAGCCTCTGGAGATGATTAACAAAATCACTTTCAATTAATCTGCAGGGAATTCAAGCTGGGATCATATGGATAAACTGTTCGCAGCCGTGCTTCTGCCAAGCTCCATGGGGCGGAACGAAACGCAGCGGCTTCGGTCGTGAACTTGGTGAATGGTGGGTATCTCATCAAATTGACGATAAAGCACATATTCGTTGATAAATTACATCATAAATTCCTTAAATGCATGCTTTCACAGGGGATTTGAAAATTACCTGAGCGTGAAGCAGGTGACTGAGTATGTTTCAGATGATCAATGGGGATGGTATTCCTCTCCCTCAAAGCTGTGATCTTTTGCTTTGCCATTGCTGGTAATCTGGTATTAAATCTAACTATGAGCTATTTATAAAAAAGGACCCCGCAAACTTTTTATTTATGTTCATGAACCAGCAAGCCTGAAGCTACCTCTCATGTAGTAGGTAGCCGTTGTACTTTCTATATTCAAAATAATTCGAACATATGAAATTAGTATTTAATCGTTTACTAGATTGCAGTGAGCTGAAATAAATAACATGTTTGTTAAATTTAAATATAAAAAAAAATGTTATTTTTTGTTTTTTTTTTATGTTGAAATATATCATTAAATTGAGTGAAGTTCAATCTTGCATCTTTGTAATTTTAAAGAATTGTGTATTAAACTTAGTAGTGCTATAAACAATGATGATAAATAATGTAATAACAGGATTTATCCAATAATCTGAATCATCATTCTATGAATGGAAAGTGCAAGGATGTATATTATAAATTAGGGCTGTTAACATATGTAGTTCCCTAAACATTGCTATTTACAAATCTAGCACCTTCATTCATCTGATTTTCGATTTCTAACTGGAATATCATAACTCGTGATAAAAACCACACATTTTTCATCTTTATCAAATTCTCAATGGCTTGATTGTGACATGTGTAAATATATTTGTACGGCAAAAA